AATAATAATAATAAAACAAAAAAAAAGAAAAAAGAAAAAAGGAGAGCAATTAGGGTTGTTAGCTTAGATTAATTCTAGAAAAGGGCTTTAATTGAAAAATAAAAAGTTGGAAACAATTGAAGAAGAAATTGAGGGTATAATAATAAAAAAAGGCAATCAAAGCTTCAAATCCTTCAATTAAAATAAGAAAGGGTACAATTAGAAAGAATTAAAATAAAAGTCCTAATTATTGGTAATGGGAGGCTAAAATTAAAACATAAAAAAACAAATTGAACCCAAATAAATGCATGAAAGAAACCAAGGACAAAATTGGATTTTTGCCAAGAGAAAAACCCTACCAATATAAAGCCTCATGGATTTTTTATCACACACGGACTATTCATTACCACCCTAAGAAAAAAGACACCCAACCACTACAGCCTTCTCTCTCGCCGACTTCACTCTCCCTCTCACCCACTTTTCCCCCCACGCCTACTACCTCCTCTCTCGCCCGACCTCGCCACTCGCTCCCTCTCGTCCGCCTCGCCCAAGCCCCTTTTCAGCCTCTAAAACAACCCCCTTTTCAGCCTTGAAACAACCCCTTTTAGCCCTTAAACAACCCCCTTTTCAGCCACTAAACAACCCCCTCTCGACCCTAAAATAGCCTCTTTTAAGCCGTCAAACGGACCCTTTCAGCCTTGAAACCGCTCCTTTTTCAGCCACCAAGCAGCCCCCTTTAACCTTGAAATAGCCACCAAAACAGCTCCCATTAAGCCATCAAAACAGCCACCAAACAGCTACAAATTAGCCCCAAAGCATCCTCAAAAGTAACCCCAAAACCAGCCCAAAAACATACCCATAAATCTACCAAAACCTCCCAAATCAACTCGAAACCGCCACCAACAGACCTCCAAAAACCTTTATAGAGCAACCCCTTCGAGCAATTCATTTGAACCACCAAATTAGCCCCAAAAACACCTAAACCATCTTCAAAATCACCCAATAAACTTGCTAAAATACCCACCAAACAAACACAAAACCTCCTTCAAAACGTACTCGTTGAACACTTTTTTTTTGTGTTACCGAAAAAAAAGAAGAAAAAAACTTTTAAAAAAACCTTATGTTGTGGTTTTGTTGCTACATTTATTTAATTTGTTTTAACAAGAAACATATTTCAAAGGAGATTTTAGTCGTACTAGTAAGATCTCGCCCCACACGTTATCTATAAATGCTCACTCTCTTTTTTTAACTAATCAAATATTTGATTATCATCGGGAACGAAGAGAGTAAGACTAACTCCAAGCCAAACATCGGAATCACGGAATCTTTGGGTAAAAATTCTAAAACTATCGTACTTTTAAAACATGATTTGCGTTTGCTTTGCGATGGGTGATTGATTGATTGTGGCGTACAATATGAATTTCAAACTCGCTGATGATGTTCGAAATTATTTTGTATGTTTTGTATCCGTTTCCCATTTTTATATTTTTTTTGTTCTCCATGTTTTGTTATTGGTTTCGTTTTTTTTCGTTTCTTGTCTTTTTGTTCCTCATTGTATCATGTTTGAAAATAAACCGCCGTAGCTTTCCACTTATGTGACGAAGCCATCGGAGGGCTTCAAAATATTTTTGTTTATTTATTTACGTGTGTAAAAATAAGTCACCGATAGCTTCTCACTTATGTGACAAAGTCGTCGAAGGCTTCAAAATAGTTTTATTTATTTGTTTGCATATTTGGAAATAAGTCGTCGGTAGCTTCCCGCTTATGTAACGAAATTGTTGGAAGGCTTCAATATATATTTTGTTTATTTGTTTGCATGTTCGAAAATAAGCTTCCGGTAGCTTCCCACTTATGTGACGAAGGCTGCTAGCAACTATTCACACGAGTCATTTTCTCCTTACTTGAGCAACATGAGATTGTCGATGACTTTTCACCTATGTGATGAAGTTGTCAATAGCTTCTTATATCCATGACTCGAAGTGGTTGGCGGCTTTCCGCTTGTGTGAGTGAGTTGTCGGTGACTAGTAGCTCATGCCGGTAAAAGGCTATTTATTTTTAGAAACTCACCTATTTTTCGATAATAGGTCGTGTTCGCTAATGATTAGTCAAAATTTTAATTTTTCTACCTTTTTCCCATTTGGGTAGGGCGTATTGGCCTTGGATCGGATCGAACGCCCAAACTACCCTCGTTTCACACTTGAACCATTTCGTCTCACAATTTTATCAAATAAATTCACATGAATAGGCATAGAAACATAGTAGAAAAAAAAATTAGATTTCTCTATTCATAGACAAACAATGCAGCTCTGCCTTAGTTAGGACGGGATGGTGATAACGTCATGTCTTACGTAACCGGCCCCTTTTCGCATTTCCATGTAGAGCGGTATATTTAGGGTTTTCCTAGTTCTCCTAATTAAATAGGTGGCGAATCCTCATGTCGGCCCTTTCCTCACTTGTGTTTGGCCGACATCGACAAGATTTATTCTATTTTTTAACTTTTTAAATTTGATCTTTAAAAAATCGGGATATCTCTAATCAATAACCACTCGGAAAAAGGAAAAAAAATATTAGAATTTAATAAACTCGTCTCATGTCGCATGAAAAACTTGTTACTAATATATATATATATATATATATTCATTGAATAATTCACTACATATTTTATGAGAATTCATAAGGATGATAACATTGCCATGGAGGATCAAATTCATCTATCTTTATTAAAAGTTGCGACAAGGCAAATCATACCAATAAGTAAAAGATGGTGTAAAGTGAAAATGACATTCTACATCCTTTCACATTTTACCGTTCACACTTTCACATACCGCTATTTATGTGGTATTTTTGTAATTTTAATGATTTTTATAGATATTTTAAAATTGTTATTTAGTAATGTTTCAATTTAGTCACTCAAAGTTCATTTGTGTAATGTTTTCATCTCTCTTTATTGAAGAATAGAGAAAGGGAAATTTTAATTGAGAGAAATTCTTAAAAAAAAAAAAAAAGGGTGGATCATGTGATGGCTTGTGACGTGGTGACTTTATTAACGATCATAATAAAATCATTTTTTGCCGAAGGAGACCTAAGATTGAAAATATTTTTGGTTTTAAAGATAGATCTAGACAGATTTTAAGCTTTCAAATGAGTTTGTAGAGGTTGTAGAGACAAGTTTGATGTGTTTTTGGCCAAAATAGTGCAAAAAATTGAACTTTTGATGGAGGAGGGGTGGTGGCGTGATTTTTCAATACCAGAGAGTTGTCGGAGAAGATTACAGCAATTAACCAATCATTCAAGTACGTGATGTATTATTGACGTATTGTAACTTAAAGTGGGCTTGAATTCCCAAGCTCCGATGCACGGGCCTGTCTTAGTAGGCCTAAGCATGTGGCCTTGATGCAATGGGCCCGTTTCTTCTTTTTTTATTTTTTTTAAATATTTCCACCCTAATAAATAAATAAAATAACTCGTAATATTGGAATATATATATATAAATAGAGAAAACTTTAGTAGTTAATTTCAATTAATCATTAATGAATTTTTTTCTATAGAAAAGATTTTTCATTCATGAAATTTCAAATTAATGTTAAAGTTGACTAAAAAAACATTAACTAAATTTTAGTCACATTAATGTCAGGAGAGAATTTTTAAAATTTATTAAGAAACTTTAGATATTAGAAAAAAAATTAACTTTGCAGTTTACATTTATGAACAAAATGTTTAGCAATTTAAATTTTGATTGATAACATTATTGAAAATGTTTGAAGGAGAAGTTCTCTTCAATAAAATTTAAAATTCATTTAGATCAATTTATAAAAGATTTATCTAATTTTTTGCACCTTAATGTTAAGAGCAAAAGTTCCATTGAAAAAGTTATTATTTTTTTGGTTGGCATCTTAGATTAAGGAATGAAATCCTCCATATAATTTTGGAGAAATAAGTTTCCATTCCTTTAATACGTGCAATATCAATTTCATGATTGAAATTTTAGTGAATCATTATCGAACATTTTTTAAAAAGATTAAAATTTCATTAATGAAAATTCAATTTTATTTTGTTTTATATTCATCTATTTTTTTTATTTTTTTTCACATTAATAATTAGGGCAAATTTTTCATTAAAAATTTTTAGTATTTTAAAAATTTAGAGGTTAGTAAAATCAACTTCTTTCATAGAATTTTAAAAAACCAATGCTCCAAATTTTAAATTTTGATGATAAGCATCATTTTTTTTTTTAATAACATGCATAATATAAATTTTATGAATTTAAATTTTTAAGAGAGAAAATTTTCAAAAAATTAAGTTAATTAAGATAGATTAATTGAAAATTTTGACATAATAATATTTTTGAAAAAATCAATATTAAGAGAGAAATTAATTGAAATAAATTCGTCTTCCAACATATTAACTAAAAAATCAAACTATTTTTTATAAATAGATCTAAAATAGAGCCGGCACCTCTTATTGTACGTCCCAAATTCAAATCTCATAAATTGAAGTGAATTATAAATTAGTCTCTCTAGTTTTAAGAAATAAATTAATTAATCTTTCTTATTTTAAAAATTATTATTTGGTTTTTTAATTATTATTGATCATATTTAATTTAATATTATTTTTATTTCATAAAATCTTTTAATTTCTCATCATTGTTTCCGAATTTTTTTCATATTTTTTCTTTTTTATTTCTTAAAATAAAAAATCAAAATAAATAAAAAATAAATTTATAAATAGATCTCAAAACATGAAAACTAAATAATTAATTATTGAAATGAGAATGACTAATTAATTGGTTTCTCAAAACAAGAGTAACTAATTTATAATTTACTTCATAAATTGTAGTGATATTTTCTTATTTGGATAATAATGTAATAATAAACCAACTCGAGGGTAAGACCAAAACGACGTGGCTTGGCTTCTCTACAACGGAGTTTTCCCATTTGACTGCCCAGCAGCAGTAGTTGTAGTAGTAGGGAGTTGCAGCTTCCATAATTTAGGGCTTGGTGGAGAAATCCTCTCTCAAAAAGATGGAGCATAGTTTATGGAATCATTTGCCACTACTGGTAAGGGCAAACTCTAAAGAATCAGTAGAGTACATTCTTCAAGCTCTCTGGCGAACTCGTAAAACCGGTCTCGATTCCGCCGACCGACTCGTCATTCGCGACATCCTCCAACTCTCTAACGACACCGATCTCGACCCTGTAAGTAACTTTCATTTTAGGGGTTTTTTTTTTAATTGATTTCATTTTTACTTTTTTGTGTTTTTATGTTCTGCAGTTATTTGTTTGTCTTCGAATGTTGATTCGAAGGTGTGTGTACGAGAATGTAAGCAAAGATGAGATTCAAAAGTTGTTTCCTGATGAGGTTTTGCCGGAATTGCAAAGGTTGTTGACGCTTTTACTCCAAAAATTTCAGAGAGAGTGGCGAGCAGATGTGTTTAAGGATCAGGTAATGGCATTAGGTTTTGTTATGCGAAATTGGTTCCATTTGTGTGCGGTGAACTACCAGGATTTTGAGTTTGAATTTTAATTCTTATGAATTTTTGTTGAATGAATGATGTTCAGGTTGATTTTCCACGGTTGAAGGCAATGACATGGAATATGGCGAATCAGGATGCAGTCGAGGGGACTGATCCTGTCGCTGTTATCAATTTGAAGGTATTGAATTAACTGTTTTGGACTGTATTGTCAAATGAGATTTAGAGGTGTGCAAGTTACAAACTTCGAGAATGATATATGATGCGATTATGTATTCATCGGTTATGATTGTGCTTTGTGCAGCTTCAAAATGATGCACAGTCTAACTCAGAATTGAAGTTCCAATTAGGTAAAGATACTCTAGAAACAATGGTGAAGTCCATGTACTGCATAAGAGACCAATTGTCTGACTTGGTAAGTTTTGTGCTCGAAATTTGCCATGTTTTTTCCTTATATATTTTATGAGGTGCAATTTCATTTGAGATTAGCAGTTCTATTTTCTTCATATTTAAATGTTATCCCCTTGGCAGGGTGGGGCATCAAATGGGCAGTTATCTCAGGAAACCAACATAGTCTAGTAAGTAACTCTTGCTTACAGCTATGCCTGAAATTGAATGGTATGGGTCATGACTTGGCCTTGGAATCTTTTTTCTTTAAGATTTCACATGATCTGTTGTTTTATTGGTTAAACTATGGCAGATTATGCGAAGATGTAAAAATTCTCTTTTGTTTTTAGCTCGTTGGGAGCATGATATCTTAACTGTGATGGTCAAGGTTCTGTTCACCCTTAGTCTTTGAATCAGTGATACTTTGGGCATTCTTTTTCGCATGCCGTGTCCCTACACTTGAAAGAGAGAGCTTTTGTAGATCAAGAGAAAGAATCATTGGGATTCTTTTGGCAATAGAGAACAATTAGGCATGTAGCTCTATTCTTTGTTTTGTAATGAAAATGTTCTATAGTGTTGAGTCGATGGTGATGTTAGTGGTGACTGGTATGTTGGTCATTATTGTGTGAGACAAAGCAAAAAAAGGAGAGAATTGTTAGTTTTTGAAAAAAAAATAAAAAATAAAAAGACTAAATGCATATCTCTGCTTGGAAGGATCATGGGCACTAGTCTATATATATATGTATATATATATGCATTATCACTTGGCTTCTAAAAACAAAGAAATTGGATTACACCTTTTATGCATTCTTGTTATTGGTAACCTAACCCCCAAGTTAAGTCTACCTCAGCACATGTAATTCATTCTTTTCTTAGAATATGGTTAAAGTTTTAGACGAACATTTTATGTTGAGGTAGTAAGTTTGTGGTCTTGCTCATAGACAGCTCTGCACAGGAGCTTCCTTCTATGCCCAGGAGGTGATTATACTGGTGTGGCAATATTAGTTTTTGAAACAAAAAGGATTAATTCATTCATTTCTTGAAACTCGAGAGACTAACTTATATCTTACTCAAATTTAAGCCACAACATCTTCCTATGATTTATTTTTGTTTAAACTATGACAGAGCCTATTTTTATATGGAGTATATATTAAGATTTAACATCTCAATTTCATATGGAAATCAGTCCCATCCCAAGTCCTAACAACATCCTTTCCTTGTTTATATACAAAAGGAAGGGAAAGTATCGTTGACATTTATATCTTTGCATTTGCCTATCCATCATCAAGAAACAGAATACAAGAGCAAGAAATATGGTAACCATTAACCAAGTTCTCTTGTTCAACAATTATTCACTTCACCTAAAAAGAGGAAAAAAACAGATTTTCAACGAGTCAATCATGAGGAATATTACTGGGAATCCAGGTGGCATAAACCTTTAGAAGGTTTGTTAAATACTAGGGGAGGTTTTAGCTTGGTCTCGGATAAAGCATCAGATTGAACTGTACATCCTCTTGCTACAGAAAGTGCTGTTGACAGCAACACCAACAACAAAAATCGTATTTGTGTCTTGGTTTCTGGGTTTTGCAAACTTGAGCTATGTTCAGGCTCACATACATGGATTTGGAGAGCAACCATTTGCAAAGATTGATTTTTTGCAAAACCACTCTGGCCCTTAAAGAATCAGCTTCTGTTTATGCCAGCCCTCTCCTTCTTGGCTTGAAGGTGATGATTTTGACTGACCCTTCTCTTAATTGTATCATTTTATTTGTGGCATATATTTTTTGTCTATGCTGTTTTAAGTTGCTATATATCTATTTAGACTTTATTTATTAAGTTGCTGCAACCTAATTGTTTAATTGATATATGAAATGAGTTGAAAGGAGTGTTAATTAAGTAGCAGAGATTGAGGTTTAGTATAATAAAGTGGAAAGTCAAGATTTATGCTGACTTTAATGCCTTGCTCAATGTAACAGAATGAGGTTAGAGCGAGAGATGAGTTTTATTTCAATTACTCTTGCAAGTGTTTAGATACCCAGTTGAAAAGTGATGGTCTTTTTTGTTTTGGTAGAAAAGAAGAAAACTTTGGAGTTGAAATCTACTTCTGAAAGCAAAAATCACTAAATCAGTAGACCAATTTGTTCATGATGTTCTTATATTGGGGAAATTTTGCAGTTTGATCGGATGCCTAGCAACTAGACTGTTTTTTGGACTGTTATCCACAGTAAAGATTGGTCTTTTGCGAGTATTACTAGTGATTATTAGCTGAATCTGCCATTGTACACAGTCTCTTATTGAACTTGCAGGTACCATTACAAGAATATCTACCATAAATTTCTATATGCATTCAATTTTGAAGTTATGGTTAATTTGATGTGTTTTTCTATTGTGATTTTTATGATTGCAGGGTGAGGATGCTGAATGGGTTACGGTGGATATTGTGAACCCTGAACTGTCTGCAGATGATTGGGTTGGAGTTTTATCTCCTGCAAACTTCAATTAATGCCAGTCTATGTGCTATTATTAAACTTCGTAACGGTTCTTTGTGCCAGAAATGTGATTGACTGGTGCAGATATTATCAACTGACACTTTCCTAGCTTTGTATTCATTGCATCAAACTTCCTCTGCCGTTGTTCTTGTAGGACTAATATTATGACCTTTGATAACTGCATAATCTAGGAATTCTGGACATGCTATTTTTTATTTTTTATTTTTCCCCTAAATTGGGCAAGTTTTTGTTCTGATATGCAGCTCTTATATACATAAAAAACAAAAAAAATGCAATCTGATTGTAATCAATGGATATGCAAATTAATACTATTCATGGACCAAGTCTTGGCCTGGATTTAGAGTAACTCCTGCATACGAGGCACATGCAGCTATCGGATCCTATCTGCAAAACCAGGGTGGAGTTACGAATTCACCCTCAGAATTACCGACTGATGTACAATGTAACGAACTTATTATATCACCATATTATTGAAACTCTCCACAACTTGGTTAATTCGAGTCTTGTGGTAGCCATCTTAGACTGGACTGAAAGGTTGGACGAATTCTTAGTCGCATATGCACGTCAATCAACCCCATCTGATTTGCTAGTTTATACGATCTTAATAAGTAAAGGTCGTAATTGAGTTATGAATATTCATCATCAAGTAATTTTCCTGCTGACAGTGGACGAAGAAGAAAAGACTTAGAATTGAGTCTTTGCTTGCTACATGAAGACAAAAGGAGAAATTAATAGCTTATGGACATCCAATTCTGTTTTCTTTCTTCAAATCATGTATATCTAAAATAAGAGACTTTAATGACACGCTTAGTCAAACAAATTGTTGCTATTGGAGATATGAGGATCTCGGATTGAAAAAAAAAAAATTTAAGAAAAAGTCGTTACTTAATATTAGAGGGAATTAGAAAATATAATCGGTAAAGAATTGGTTGTGTTTATTAAAAAGAGAAATATTACCTAAAAATATCATTTCCTTAAGAAAGTTATCAAATATGTTTGATTTCTAGCTCATTTTTTTAAAATAAATTTTTTATCAAGATATTTTTCAAGTTTATTGCTAAGGCAGGTAAACTTGAATTTGAAATTAATCCAAAGGAATTATTTCACATTTTTCTACTAGGGTCGTTTCGGATATACTTGAATGTTTTATTATCTATTATGAAATTGTAATAAATTGATGTCGAATGCTAAAAATAAGATTTACGTCAATTTAACATCGGATCTAGTTAAATCCCGATACGATTGTCATGCTAGGAACACGTCAACTAATGAGGACGAACTAAGTTGGTTGAGGTTTATAGTAGATCATTTTAAATTGACATCGGGCTTTGAAATTAGAGTCGATTTAGTTTATCATCAAATCTCGTTAAATTATGACACAATCGTCATACTAGGAACATCTCAACGAATTAACGACTCTATTGATTAATTAAATTGGGCCACAAATAAAATTTCTCATGCATGTTATTATTATTTTTGAAATGGTTATGAAACCTTACAGGACCATTGTCCGTCCATAACAAAATTGAAAACTCGTTGACCTAACGTGAGACTCTAAGATAATAAAATCTCATCCGAACCGAAACTCACTCATTCAAGAATTGAAAATTATATGCTAAAGCATCACATATGCAGCATATATCAAAGAAAATCAAAATAAAACACCAAATAACATTAGAAAATTATAAAATTCAACACATAGCTTATTAAGACAATCCGATGATAAAGTATAGTTAACAAAACAAACAAATTTGGTTACTAGCAAAAGTGTTATAGTCGATGGCAAAGACTCCAAGATATATTCGGTTTAATCGGATACAAGTAGATAATGGTGTTCACTATTTGATAAAAACCGAATAACCGAATTGAACCGCATCAAAATATCAATTTTTGTGCAGTTTTAGAAATTAAAATAAAAAACCAAACCAAAATAATTTTGATTTTTAAGTTCGGTTTCGATTTTTTTAAAAAAATTTTGGTTAACCAAAAAGCCAAAAATTATATATAAAAACCAAAAATTATATATATATATTAAGTTAGATCACTCACTAGTTCCCAAAATTGAAAAACCCTTCTCTCCTAAATGCACTTTCTCCCACATCTTTGTACGTGCTCTTTTTGTTTCGCTACAAGTATGGATGGACAAAAAATAGCAAAGACGTTAGTAGATTTTCTATCGTCTCAAATTTAAGCCTTCTTAAGTAGATAATTTATTATTTATTTATCCACCAATGCATTTGCTATTTTTTTGGACGCAACTTAGTTTCTTAAATAGTAATCCACAAAGCGAGAAAAAACCCACGCTAAACAAATATTTCATGAACTTTAATAGAATCAACCATTTGTAGAAAAACTAAAATAAAATAAAACGAGTAAAAATCAAATTATCGAACACCGAAACCAAAATATTTTGAAATCGAATCAAAAAATAGAATAACATTTTCGTTCGAATTCAATTTTTTTTTTTTTTTGAAAATTCGATTAATCAAAAAGCGTCCAAAATATTTTGAAATAGAACCAAATAACTGAATGAACACCCCTACAAGTAGATATATTTCAATATTATATGTAGCTATTTTATTGTAATCTATATTTATCAAACACAAACAAAATGTAACAACATAGAATATAAACACACACACACACACAAGTCTTACTCTTGTAAAAACTCACTAATTGTGAGCTATTCAAACTCTATCTCTAACATTTAATTTGATATCAAAACCTTTGTACAACACTACAACAATGACCTCTAGTGTTTTTACTTCCTCTACAACTCCCAAAAATACTATTGTCGTTCCCCAAACAACCCAAAATAACATAACTCAACTCATATATGCTCACCATTTTATTTCTCTCAAACTAACCTTAACAAATTATCTTTTTCAGCAAACTTAGATAAGACCTTTTTCAATGGGCCAAGGTCTCTTTGGATTCATTGATGGCAATAATGATCGCCCTTCCCCTCATACCCTTTCTCCAGTACACTAACATATCCCAACCCAACCCTCAATTTGCTTCTTGGATTCAACAAGACCAATTGATAATGAGTATGTTTATTAACTTTTTATCCACGGAGGTTCCGCCCTTTGTCATTGATTGTGGCAATTCTCATGAAGTTTAGACCACATAAAAGAGTGTTCTTGCCTCCTACTCTAATACCTACATAACGACACTTCATCTTAGACCCTATCGACTTAAGTAAAAAGATGTTAAAAGTGTTACTCAATATCTATAACAAGCAAAGTCTTATATTGATGAACTCACGTACTGTCGCGAAGCCTTTGTCCATAGTTGATTTCAACCTCTATGTCTTTTGGAGTTTATCCGAAGATTTCAAAGACTTAGGGATGACAATTCAACCCGTCCCAACATCGCCCTACCCAGCCTCCCGGCTTAGGGTGGGGATGGAGTGCAAAATTTTACCCTAAACGGGACACGAAATGGGGATGGATTTTTTTTTAGAGTGCGGGGTAAGGATGAGGATGACCATCCTCACCCCGCCTCGCCCTTTCCTTCCCTTCCCTTCCCTTTTTCCTTTAGAAAAGATAATCTAGCAGGGCCCAACATGGGAAGCGAAATTTCACCCCGAATGGGACATAAGGCGAGAGATGGGGATGGCGATCCCCACCCCGCCTCATTGCCATTCATACAAAGACTTGATCACAACTTTGATTGTGCGATCCGATCTAGTATGTTTTACCAACTTAATCTTTCTCCTATCACTCATACATCTAATTACACGCAAAAAGCAAGAGGTTAAAATGACCATGACTACTCTTCCGACATACCAACCTACCTTGGTTCCTTATTTAGTCATGGTATAGGTCGTAATCAAAAAGGTCGATTTGCATGAGAGGAGCTCTAGTCGAAACCAAAATTTCTCTAATGGCTAGCAACATTGTGATTTCAAAGTGCATTGTCGGTTATGCAATTCGGTACCCACTATGCTACTAATTGCTCCTAAATGTGTGTCCAAGCTAATGCAATTTTACCCAATATGGTTATTCATCCTCCTTCTACTTCTCTTAGCTATCAAACATACCTATAGTGTCCTAACATCGGGGCCTCACATCATGTCACCCTTGAAAATACAAGCCCAAATCATTATAAGCCATATTGTGGATCGGATCAACTACAAGTTGGTAATCCCGAGTTCCTTCCCGCGAGAAAATATTGTCACTACTCATCTTTATACAATAACTTAAACTTTTCAAATGTTTGATGTATTATATGTTCTAAAAATTTAATGTCTTTTACTTTTTGTTAAAAGATTAGCCAATGATAATAATTTATTTTAAGAATGCTACCCCTCTACTTTGTTTATTAAGGATCACATGCAAAAAAACCATTATTTTCCGGACCAATTAGGGATGACCTATACATATTGTATGGCAATTTCAATCCAAAAGCTTTTTCCGTTCAAACATCTTCCAAAATATGCCACTCTAGATTGGGTCATCCGCATAATCGAGTAATGAATTCTATTTTTTAAAATAATAAATTGTCACACATTGGTAACAACTTCAATGGTCAATGTGTATTTTGTCCATTAGGAAAATCACATAGGTTATCTCTTTGATTCACTAACCATTGCGGTGATCATGTTTTAGATTTAATTTTTAGTGATGTATAAAGACCATCAACTACCTCTTTAATTGATGGTCATATATATCACATTATTTTTATTAACCACTTTTCTTAAGTTTATTTGGTTTTATCCTATTTGTAAAAATTCCGATGTCTTTAATATTTTTATTCAACTTCAAAAAGGCGAGTTTGATTGCAAAATTTAAAAAAGTCCAAATGGACTAGGGGGATGAATTTTGATTACATAATAATATTTTTGAAAAAATTAAAATTATTCATTATACCATATGTCCTCACATACATAAGTAAAATGGTATTGTTGAAAGATGACATCATCATATTGTGGTAACAAGTCTAATACTTATTGGAGAGAGTAAGGTGTCGACCACATTTTGGCACTTTG